GAGATTAATCTGACTATGTCGGTAGGGTGGATGGAACAGATCAGGGAGGGATGAGGAAGCCTGAGTTGGGGCCCAGGGCATGGGGGCGGGGCAGGATATTGTAGACAGACACACACACACACACACACACACACACACACGCACACACACAGTGCTTTGGGGATGATGGAGATGAGTCAGGCTTCACCATGTAGGAACAGAGACCAGTCAATACTCAACAGAAATGCAGTGGGTCATCGAGAGGGACAGATAAAGGGATCTGGGCTTCCAGGGGAGGGATTGTGGTTTTCCTATGTGCTTGCTGTGTGGCCTGGAGAGGGTTGGGTATTGCTGGGACTCTCAGGCTGTCCTGCCAGCAGTGAGAGGTAGAAGCCAAGGGCTTGGGTAGGAGCAGCAGCATTGGCTGGGAAAGGCTAAGGGGCAGGAAGGTGGTCATCTCCCATTTTGGGATTCAGAGGCTGAGAGAGGTGAAAGAGCACCAACCACAGGGGCCACCGTGGAGGGTAGTGGCTGGGCCAGACTAGAAGTCTCGACTCTTCTCCCGCAGGACACATGCCTCTATTGGAGGACAGATCGAGGTTGGTTGGGAGCGTGTTGCACTAGTCCAGGCAAGAAGTAGAGAGGAGCTAATCTTGAGTTGGGCTGGGGCTCAGGAGAGACTGGAAACCAAAACTGGCAGTGAGGACTAATGGATGAAATTCCTTGTAGAATCGGTGAGATCTGGAGTGTCTCCTTGTCTCCTTCCCTGACAGTGTGGCCCAGGATAGACTCATGACGCATGCCAAGTAATTCAGGCACAGGCATACCTGTTTTATTACACTTTGCTTGATTGCACTTCATAGATGTTGTGTATTTTACAAATTGAAGGCAAGACCCTCCACCAGCAAAAATATTGCAGCTTGCTTTATTGCGATACGGCTTTACTGGGGTGGTCTGGGACAGGTGGCCCAGGAGGAGACTCATGACTGCCCCAGCCTTCATCTTTTACACCTTGACCCAGCCCCGCAGTGGTAGGTGGAATGGTCCCCATTTTCCAGGTGAGAAGGCTGAGGGGCCTGGCCAGGACTCACCCAAGGTCACCTGGTGATTCTGAAGCAGAGAACTTGGGTCTCGTGATTTTAATGCAGGCTCTTCTGAGGGAGGTCACAGCTGCCGTTTGCCGCTGTTTGGCTTGGGGCAGCTGTCTCTTGGGTCAGAGCCAGAGTCCACAGGCCATCTCCTGGTCCAGCGCCTAGAGGAGTAATCCCTGCTTCTTCCTCCCCGAGGGAAGCTGAGTACAGATCTAATCTCACCTGCTGAGGCTGTGTTCCTCTCCCTGGGGGATCCTCATCTTCCTTGTTCATGCCACAGGGATAGCAAGCCTTGTCCTGCCTCCTTTCTGTGTCCCGTGTTGGGGTCAGATGGGGTTCAAGCCCCTAGAACAGGGGTGGGCAAACTTTTTGACTCGAGGGCCACAATGGGTTCTTAAACTGGACCGGAGGGCCGGAACAAAAGCATGGATGGAGTGTTTGTGTGAACTAATATAAATTCAAAGTAAACATCATTACATAAAAGGGTACGGTCTTTTTTTTTTTTTTTAGTTTTATTCATTTCAAACGGGCCAGATCTGGCCCGCGGGCCGTAGTTTGCCCACGGCTGCCCTAGAACCTTTTGCATGGATGCATTAAAGACATTAGCGAGTGGGTTTGTTGGTGACCACAGTGGCAGCTGACCTCAGACTGCTTGCATGGCAGTAGGGGGAGGTAGTCAGCCTTGCCTGGAGTGGCCAGGCCATGGACTATACTGTAGCTGCAGGGCTGGCCTTGGAGATCAGAGCGCTCACAGAATGGTCCCACTGACTGAACTCTCAGCTGCCAGGCACAAACCACCTTATGGGGTAGGTATCAGGTAGAACCATGTGAAATTGCCAACATCTGATCCTTCACTTTCATGTGGTTCAACCTGATATCATTCACCCCCATTTTACAGAAGAGAAAAGGGGCTCACGATGGGATTTGCGCAAGGTCACACAATGAGTGGCAGGACTAGAATAAGATTTGCTCAAGGTCACACCAAAATGCAGAACTCATCATTCCTAGTCTGACTGTCCACTTCTAGAGCCTTCCCTCACCCCAGAACTCTGCCTGCCCCATGTCCTCTTCCTCCACACATAATGTCAATATTTGATCGATTGAGGTTTCTCCTTGGCTGCCTGAATACAGACATACCTTGGAGATATTGCAGGTTCTGTTCCAGACCACCCCAATTAAGCCAGTATCACAATAAAGCGAGTTGTAATATTTTTGCTGGTAGAGGGTCTAGCCTTCAATTTGTAAAATACACAACATCTGTGAAGTGCAATGAAGCAAAGTGCAATAAAATGGGTATGCCTGTACCTGAATTACCTGGCATCCTGGATTGAAAGCATATTACATACTAAATTCACTAGCCTGGAGGGCAGGGGTAGGGGCTTAGGGTCTTTAAAGTAGGTTGGTCAGAGCCACTGCCTAGGAAATAGAGGCCCAGGGTTGAAGGGAGACCAGTTTTTAAAGATGCCTTCAAAGGCCTTTTGAGATTGCGCCTTGCCTTGGCACTCTTTGCCAACACCTCTGCCTCTACCATCAGACCGGATGCTCCTAAGGGCAATGACTTTGCTTCTGAAGTGAAGGGGACTGACATTTTCTGAGCACTTCCTTGTGCCTAGCAGCACCGTAAGGCCTTTTTTTTTTTTAAAATATATTTTATTGATTTTTTACAGAGAGGAAGGGAGAGAGATAGAGAGTTAGAAATATCGATGAGAGAGAAACATCGACCAGCTGCCTCCTGCACATCTCCTACTGGGGATGTGCCCGCAACCCAGGTACATGCCCTTGACCGGAATCGAACCCAGGACCCTTCAGTCCGCAGGCCGACGCTCTATCCACTGAGCCAAACTGGTCTCGGCAAGGCCTTTATATTTGTCTTCACGACAACCCTGCCGGTGTAAACAGGCTCAGAGAGCATACGTAACCCGAACGGTAAGCAGAACGCATCCCAGATGACTCTGAGGCAGCCAGGCCAGTGTTGGGGAACCACTGATCTGTACCTAGGCTATACCCACAATCATCTCCTCAGAGGCACTCAGATTGCAGTGACTGGCATGGGAGATGCCAGCCACTGAGAATTAAGCCCCAGTCGCTTCCCTGTGAAGTTCATAGTCTGTTGAGAGAGACAGAGATCTAAATAAATGGGCCCATTGCATTGTAATACACACAGCAATGGAGGTTTGGTCTTGGCCAAGAGCTAGGACAGAGAAGAGAGTGTCTCCCCAGGGCCTGGCACATAGTCAGAGTTCCACAGTATCTGTGGCTCTGAATAAATTTCTGGCACCTCCTGTAGGAAATTTCTGTCTTCGCACCACCTCTCCGTCTGAAGGATAGAGTGGTTTTTACTGAGCCCATAAGTTTAGTGAAACACCTACTGTGTGCTGAGCCTTATATCAGCTCCTGCCTAGAGTGGGATTATACAAAGAAGCACAGAAACGGCCCTGCCTTCTCGAAGCTGAAAGTTGGATGTTCTGAGAGCAAACGGTATCCATGTGAACCAGTTCGAAAATCAGGAGTCGAAGTGGGGCAGTGGGATGAAGGTGTCCAGGGAATAGCCCACATGGACGGGAAGGGCAGAGGGAAGGCTATTATGGCTCAGGAATAAGGTGGCAGTAACCCACGCTGTCTTCCACATTTGCTCACTCAACAAATGCCTCCTGTGTGCCAGGCACTGGGCTAGGTGCTGGGGATACCATGGTGAGCGAACCCTGCCCTGCTTCCTGCCTTCGGAATCTACAGGCACACCTTCCAGATGTCCTGGGTTTGTTTTCAGACCATTGCAATAAAGCGAGTCATAATCATTTTGCTAGTGGAGGGTCTTGCCTTCAATTTATAAAAAACACAAGTGCAATAAAGTGAAGCAGCCTCCTTCAATTTGTAAACAAACAACATCTGTGAAGCATACTCCTCCACGATAGCACATAGTATAGCGGAGGAGGCTGACTCCATTCAAGTAAGCAACATAAGTGTTATAAAAGAGGATGGGTGCTCTGAAATGAACAGTGGGAAGGCCAGGCCGGGCTTCCTCAAGGAAGTGAGTTTGAGCTGAGGGCGAGCCAAGCAAGGAGGGGAGGGAAGCGCACAGTAACCCAAGGGAGGAGCTAGTGTGGACCGAGGCTAGGGAGGCAGGCAGGACGCTGAGTGTGCAGTCCTGGAGTACAGAGACTAGACTTTGTTTCACTGGAGGGATTTGGACCCATACACCCCAGCACTATAGTATGTGATCCCCACTATCATGGAGGAAGAGGCCACAGGTGGAATGGAGGGTGAGCGATGAATTTACGCTTGGAGGTCCAGGGCTATTCTCATTGAAGACAGGGTGTTTGAGGTGGGCTGTGAAGGAAAACAGAAATTTGGCTGGTTGTATGAGTGTGTGGTGGTAGTGGAGATCTTGGGGAATAGGATGTTTGAGGCAAAACGCACAGCGAACACAGAAGTGGAATCTTTCAAAGGTGCAAAGAGCAAGAAGTTGATTGGGGACAGAGTGAAGTGTGCAGGGGATCTCGGGAAGCCTTGTTGGCCCGCCCACCCCGGAGGTGTAATGGATGCGTCCGCGCTCCATCTCATCTCTTCCAAACAGGACATGACTGGCCAAGATCCTGACCAGTGGCTTCTAGATCTAGCTCCTACTTGTCCCAATAGTGCAGCGGTTCTCAACCTGTGGGTCGCGACCCCTTTGGCGGTCGAATGACCCTTTCACAGGGGTCGCCTAAGACCATCCTGCATATCAGATATTTACATTACGATTCACAACAGTAGCAACATTACAGTTATGAAGTAGCAACGAAAATAATTTTATGGTTGGGGGTCACAACATGAGGAACTGTATTTAAAGGGCCAGAAGGTTGAGAACCACTGCACTAGTGGACGAGGTCGCTAGGGAGCCTGGGAGAGAAGGGCAAAGGGGTGGGGAGAAGGGGAGGGCTCAGGTGTTACCTTTGCGAGATAAAAGATGCTCATCAGCAACGACGACCATTCACTGGGGCTCATTATGTGCCAGGGTTGCGCTTTCCTTCACCAAGACACCTTCCAGTCCGGCAGAGTGTGACCTGCTCCCTGTCCCCCGCAGCGGGGCCGCCATGGACAAGATCCTCGAGGCCGTGGTGATGTCCTCGTACCCGGCCAGCGTGAAACAAGGGCTGGTGCGGCGCGTGTTGGAAGCGGCGCGGCAGCCCCCTGGGACCGCGAGCAGTGCCTGGCGCTGTTGGCGCTGGGCGCCGCGCCTCCTACGTGGGACGGCGCCAACAAGCTGCCGCCGCCGCGTGGCTGCCAGCTTGTTGCACGTCGCCGGCC